GCTCTCTCTTCTGGAGCTCATAGACAACACTGCTGGGCGTGTTCTTGGCAAAGAGACCAAGAGGTGTTTGGCTACCCTACCATCACGTGCCCAGAACAGAATTGCCCGTCACAGCAATGGTCAAAGTCTAGAAGAATTAATGTGCAACAGAGAATCTCAATGGAGGCTGAGAGAGAGTAAAAAGAGAGGGAGAAATTTACAGTGTGTGTGGGGGGGAACAACCGTGCAGGCCCTTAGGCGTTTACAGTTCCGCAGGGCCTGCAAGACGGAGCTCTTCCGCCAGGCTTTCAACTAGGAGCTGCCCACCACTAACCACCAACGTCTGTGGTGGCAGGCTTGCCCGGTTTTGGTGATCAGTTATACCGCCGCGTGATGTCAGAAGTTTATTCAGCTGGAAATCGTGTGTGTGTTCCATTACACAATACGCCATCTTATTAATGCAGAAGCACTTTGATTATGTGACTACTTAAAATGATTTAACTGTTTTTATGTGTTTTGCGTGGACTTACGGCACTTGTACCATGAACTGTAAGCCGCCCTGAGTCTGTTCGCGGGGAGGGCGGGATAAAAAATGCAATAAAATAAATAAATAAGTAAATAATCCTTTCTGGGCCAACGACTTTTCTGCTCCCTGTCCCCTACCCCACCACCCCACCACTTCCCTCCTGGGGCACTGCCGTGCCAACCATGTGACGGGGGAAACTGCACCAGAACAGGCAGGGAACATTTTAGATCACCCTAACCCTCATTTTTCTACTCTTGATGATCTCTTCCCGAAACAGCATCTGTCTCCCTCCGGCAAAAAAGGCGGGCTGGACAAGATCCTGCTACAGCTGTTGGGTGTGTGCGGTAAAGGCCTTAAAGAACACTGCTTGCTTGAAGGCAACTGCTACTTCACGTCAAGGAAAGAGGCAGGCCTGAACCGCAGTATTAGTGAGGTATAAAAGTCAAGAATGGATTCCCTACCTTCATTAGCTTCTGCCCTGGGATTCTTGATAAATGCCGAAAATTTGGCAAATATGTCCATTCCAGCAGTATTTGATTCAGGGTGTTTCGGGGAAAGCTTCGAGTACCTGAAGAGGAAGATATATTTCTAAGTTTACAGTGCGATTTAGACTACAACACAGCAGAGATCCTTTTATACTGTGTAAAATTTTAATCCCAATACAGAAGTAAAACCAATTGCATAATATACAGTGCACACGTTTCGTTATCGATGGAAAATCTTGTGGCATTTCACTTGTTGGTACTTGATACGGTTGTCATAGAGGAGCATGTGTGTGCAAAGAGTATTCCACAGATTTTCTAACATTCTGGTGTACTACAACAAGGTATCAAGTAACATACTGTGATCTATAATTGTGAGTGAAGATCGGGAAAAGGGTTTCATGTCCAATTCTACTCTAACGTAAGAAAGCAGGTTCACAACCATTTTTGAAATTGTGACCAAAAAGGAAGTATAAAATCTTCCTCAGGAAGTCTAATATTGGGTCCCATTTTGCCATAAATGAAGATCTGATTGGTGTCAAGGAGGCGTTTAATATGTTGGTAACACAGCCCATGAGATACGGATCCCATAATTTGCAATACCAGAGTTGAGCTGTGGGTGGTGTCATAATCTGGGCTGTGCCACCAGAGGCCTACTAGGCCCAGGGAGCCTGGCTAGCAGTAGGTGAGGCTGGGCCTACAACTCCCAGAAACCCCTGAGAGGTTTTGGAGCCAAAATTGACCAATAAGAAAAGAGGAGGGCTTGGAATAAAAGGGCTGGTGCCAGAACAGAAGCTGCTCTTTCTTCCAGAGGGAAGAAACCCTCATCCTGAGGGAGGGGTGAGTAGTCTAGTGTCACTTGGAATAGTGAGCTAGGGACAGTATATATTTAGACGCGTAAGGGCATTTGATTTCTTTTCACCCACTTACTGTTATTATTATGCACCTCGTTGTTTAACCTCCTATAAAATAAACCTTTTCCTTGTTTCACTCTGCCTGGTCCTCACACCTATTATTCGGCCAAAAGGGAAGTCTGAAGGTCTTGGGAGGGTGCTCTGGGCCTTCTCAAGGGAACCTAAATCCAGAGTGGTGGCAGCGTCAGGTGACACCCCCACCTGAGCCGTGACAGGTGGGTTGTCCGCTTTCCAGCAAGAGGCTATGGATGTTCTTGCAGCAAACACCATAATGTCTAAAGTAGCTTTGTACTTATGTTTTTCTACATGCCCTAGGGTTGCCAAGTGTACTTACCCTTGGCAGCGGGGGAGCCTTGGCGGGCTCCGGGAGCTCTTCCAGGAAGTGTGCACGTGCTACGTCGCTCATGTTGGGGGCGTGGCCCATATGGTTTCCCCCCCAACGATCTGGGCCATGCCCCCAACGTGAGCGATGTGGCTGCGTCACCTCTGGTGACGCAGCTTTGGGGGGCGGAGTTCCCCCTGGGGCCCGATTCCGCCACAGCGGAAATCGGGCCTCCAATTTAAAAAATCCTGGCTATGAGCTTGACCACCTCACCCCCCTAAATGTAAGCTGCAATTTGCCTTGGGAGTTTGCTATACTTCTTCCCACCCCACCCCCACCCCAATGCCTCTGCACCTCACTTGGATTTGGTTTGTTCTCTCAATGCTCCTGAGAAGTCTCTACAGCAGTCCCGAATGCCATTCGCTTCTTACGCATTCAGCACTTGCCCTGTCAGCTCTACTCAGGCAATAGTTAACAGGATGCCATTTAAACACAATGCTACTTGGCCGTCAAGTCTTTTTAAAGATTTTGGAGCAGAGAACTCCTTATTCCATAAGTCCACTAAGCCGCGTATACTATTGGAATCACATCTTCGTTCACCACAATTGACACACCTACTTTGGAACGTAACTACAACCAGGGGCAGATTAACCATTAAGCAGACTAAGGACGTGCTTAGGGCCAAAGGGGGCACTACAAAGTTGGGAAAAGGGTGAAAAGCTTAGTTTGTACAGTATATTGTGCTATCATATGAATAAATTTTTGTATTGCTGCAACCTGCACTGGTCAGACAGGTCAACAACTAAAATGGACTGTGGGTCAGTGTGGAAAGGAGGGGGGGCACCAAGACTGGTCAGTGCTTAGGGCACCAGTGAGCCTTAATCCGCCCGACTACAACCATTATTGACCCATGATCGCTGGGCTATTTTGGGGCAGGAACGTACAGGAACGGAGTTCCGGCTGGCTCCCGAGTTGGCCACGCCCGGCAGGAACTCATTAGCATAATAGGCCACACCCAACAGCAAAAACTCATTAGCCTTGGCTACATTAGGGGTGTGTGGCCTAACATGCAAAGGAATTCCTGCTACAAAAAAAGCCCTGGGTTTTGACAACAGACAAGGTAAACGGAATAAGAAGGAAAAGGTGGGTGTGGCTGGGCGACCACACTTCTGGTAACATGGGGGTGTGGCCTAATACGCCAATGAGCTGTGCTGTCAGGGGTGTGGCCTAATAGGTGAATGAGTTTCTGCTGTTGGGTGTGGCCTGTTATGCTAATGAGTTCCTGCTGGGCTTTGTCTACCAAAAAAGCCCTGGCAGGAAGGATAGATGCTGCTTCTTACTGGCTTACCTCTTAACCCTTCTGTGTGGCAACAGGAAGAGGTAACGCCACCACCACCACCATCTAGAGACAGTTACAACTTCCCACATTCCACTTTCCTTCCACCATCACCCCCCTCACTGACACTTACTTGGGTGGGCAAAGGACTTCTTCAAGAAACTCTTCGATCTTGTTCACATCTGTTTTGACTTCACTGTTAAATGTGATAAAGGGGGGGTGAGTCCCTGGAGCCAGGTTCTGGAGATCTGTAGGCTTCCTGGGGGTGTAAACACAAACAACGTCGCCTACATTTAAAACATTCCACATGTTTAATTTCCAGTGAATTACAATTCAGGCTGTTGTTAGGAGATGAGCGGGCTAAGGACTCTGCCGCCAAAGAGTCCTTAGCGAGTTGAGGGCTCCCAAAGCAAACTGCCCGAGAGAGGGGACAACTTATGAACTTCATCATCATACCTTTATTGGCATCGTAAAAGGGGAACATTAAGCGAATACATAAATATTGCCGAGTTAAAATAGCCCAAGGTTACAGTATATTGCTTCGGTGGCATGTAAATTTTGCCACTGACTCAGTTGTATCGTCACTAGTGTTGCTAAGTAAAAACAACAGTTTATACGCATCAGGAAAATCCATAATGCTAGATAAGATTGAAGATAAAATACTTTGTCTGATATTGTTATAGTAAGGACATTCTAACAACGCATGGGACACTGTTTCAATAATTCCATTGAAACAGGGGCAATATCTATTAATAAGCGGTCTACCTTGAAATCTTCCGGTTAAAACCGCTGACGGTAAAATATTACGCCTGGCAAGAGAAAAAAATTTCTGCAGATTTTTGGAGTTTGCAGTTGGTAAGTATAATTAGGGAGAAGTCCTACATTTGGGAGTATCCCATGGCTAAGTGGAGAGCAGGTCTTATTGGCTGCATTGTCTGAACCGGCTAGTTCTTATCTCCACTACTCTGTTCCTTATTTTTTGGAACTTCAAGAACACTGCTAAAAGATTTGAAAGACAATGAATCCGCTAATCAGTAACATGCTTCACGCTATTCTTTTTTCCAGCGGACTGCAAATAACCTTGTAATTAAGGTGAAAGGCCTTAATTATCTTGTAATTAAGGTGAAAGACTAAGATTACTTTGCAGTTCTAAGAAAAGCTTTACGATTACCTGTGTGCCCATTACAAAAGGGTGACTTCGTACGCCACTTGGCAGATGTGCATCTAAAGACCATATCTTCAGAGACAGACATATAATCATGGTGGATACACAGTGTTATGCACTCTGCCTGTTCTTTGGATGACTAGTCTCTGAGGCCTTGTGTCCTCGTTTGTGTGTGGTGTGTCAAAACCATTTTAGAGTCCGGACAGCACGGGCACTCCCTGTATGCGCAGGACTCAGTGATCCTGCCCCTGTGTCTCAGGAAATAAACAGCACGCAAACAGGCTGACGTCTAGAAACCCAGATATAGAGAACGACAGCATTAAACTATAACAGACTCAAGGTTAAGCGACAAAACCAGATTTTAAAATATAATTTCCCCCTCCAATGTCCTCCTGGGGGGAAAAAGGCAAAAGGGGGAAATTTCCATTATTGTGTTTCGCCAGCTTATTTTCATTAACATTGTCAATGGCACCCTCTGGCTCAGAATCATTTCTCCAGTCAGGATTAAGTGTGGATTTGCTTGGTAGAATCATATTTCAGAGATGGTAGCAGCAGCTGGACTTACACACAGGTTGAAGTAGACTGGGTTCAGACCCAATGCTCCCTCTAAGCTGTGGAGTCTTGTGAGCAAAAATTCTACTTTGTGAGCTACTGGCATTAAAGTTGTGAGTGAAGCATAAACTAGTTTGCTCTGGAGCCCTCCCTTCCTGAGCTGAGATGAAAATGTGTGAGCCGGAGGCTAAAAAACTGTGAGCTAGCCTACACTAACTCAGCTTAGAGGGAACAATGGTTCAGACGCGTTCAAGTGATCAGCTCATCGTTTATTAGTGATTCAGCAAGAGAACGAAGACTGAGAAGCCCCTGGCCGAAGCTGGGTATTTATGCCTGGAAAACGTTACACCCAAAACACACCCCACTCCCCACTATAGGCTGTTTACACTACACTGTTTCCCAATCCGGTTCCTCTAGGATCCCTTGTCACCCTACTGGTCCATTCTAGGATCTTAGCAAGCTATTGTTATGCACCCCCAAGCGAAGTCCTTTTCCAAGTACAGTTCAGGCTCAATACATAACACCGGTGGAGGAGAAAGAGAAACAATCCAGAATTCTGAAAGCAGGGACTTAACCGTCTATCCAGCATCGTTCCCTCTGGAATAAGAAAAAGGGGCACCAGGACGCCAATATCTGAAGCTACGGAAGGAAGCCGGATGACAACTAGCCCGGGGTGCTGGTAGGCAGTCACCACCCTGTAGACAAAATGTGGCCCTAGTCAGGTTAATTGGTTGGTTAGAACCACTATGTAAACCACCCAGAGACCCTTCGGGGTCAGGGCGGTATATAAGCCGAAGGTATAAATAAATAAATAAGCTGTGCCTCCATTCCCTGCCCTCGACACAGGAGTTCACCTTAGCTGCTCAACGGGCATCAAAGAACGCTGCCTGCTCTTTTAGTGGGGAGCAGCAGGGAATTCAAGGAGTGGGAGATCTGATCAGAACTCTCTACGTCACTGGTTCCCAAATTGGGCAATACCACCCCCTAGGGGGGCGTTGGAACGATCCAGGTGGGTGGTAGGAGCCTTGGGTGCAATCGGGAGGGGGGGTTGAATAAAAATAAGGGGGCAGTGGAAGCATAAAGAAAGAAGCAGCCTTTTCCCGCCTTCTCCTGGTCTTCCCTGGGATGAAGGAGGGAGGGGGAGAGGGGTCCTCACAGCCAATCACAGCCATCCATTGGGCAGGGGGTTGGACTACATGGTCCCCTTCCAACTCTATGATTCTATGATTTGCAAATCGCAAATGCGTGTGCACCCTTGTAAGACTGGTGTTGCTGCTGGGCTATTGTGTGGTGGTTGCTGCTGGCCTCTGGCTTCAGGCCAACAACGTCTTTCTGTACTATGTGCAAATTTGTCACTGCATCTTTCTGTCCACTTATTGAAGGTCGATTTCCAGGGGGGCGCTGAGTAATTTTCTTTCTGAAAAGGGGGCGGCAGGCCAAATAAATTCGGGAACCTCTGCTCTGCATCTTTAATTTTATTGAAAAGCAGCTACACATGGACTCCCAGGTTTCAATCGGAACTTTGGGGAAAGGGGAAGCATGATTTCCAAAGCAGAAACCATTCCCCACCTTGAACATAAGAACATAAGAGAAGCCAATGTTGGATCAGGCCAATGGCCCATCTAGTACAACACTCTGTCACACAGTGGCCAAAAATACCAGGTGCCCTCAGGAGGTCCACCAGTGGGACCAGGACACTAGGAGCCCTCCCACTGTTGCCCCCCCCCCAAGCACCAAGTCTCCTCCTTTGTCTTGTTTGGTTTGTCCTCTCCCTGTGTGTACTGTTAGCTGCTCTGGATCCCCATTGGGAAGAAAAGCAGGATATAAATATGCTAATTAAAAAAAATAGTCGAGGCAATCGCCTGACCTCACTTCCTGTCAAGTTCACTTCTGGCAGGAAGCACACGGAAAAGCATTAAACTGAAGCAACACTGCCAACTGGAGAAAGTATACTCAGAGTTCTTAAACCAGACTGAGTAATATCCCATTTGGAGTGCCAATGACAACAGCTTTTCCCTTGCACATCACACTGTGCCAATATAATCTCTTGGCAGATAAAGATGTATAAAATATTACACTAAACTTACTGTTCTTAATAAATACTTGAGTATCTCTTGTGGGTTTCTCAAAAAGCAGAAAATGCAGAAATAATACTATATCGTTGTGAACCCAATCCCTAATTTGTTCTCCTACAAAAGCCGCTGAGTTGTTAGTTGCCTATCTTAAGTAGCTTAAGCTTCAGTTACATACCACTGTGTGCACCCGCCAGAATTACAGGAAATTACTCGCATGGCTCTGTTCCAATTTCTCCCACTGGTGGGAGACGGCTCCTTTTGAAAGAGGAGAAGTAGCTTAAGCCAAATGTAGCAAACTATGCTGTATCAGGCTGCATTCTGTTCTCTCGGCTGCCAAAATACAGATGATGGCAAGGCAAACACACTCCCCCCCCCCCCCCCGAGCCTCCACCACCACCACTACCGCCACCCTTCTCTTCCTTAAGTTCATGCCAGCATTAACAGATCTCTCGGTACAAAGCAAACGTGTCACGTTGGCAGCTGTTACTTAGAAGCATTTTCTCTCTTGCTCTCTCTCTCTCCCCCCCTTTATTGCATTTTGTTCGGTAATAATTGCAAAGCTTTTATGTCGAGTCCCGCATAAATGCGACTGAGTAGGAGTGTTCGGGTTTGCTTTCTATTATTCTGCCCCTCACGCGTGTCTCCTTTTCCCCATCTTTTTCCAGAACCACACGTTGAGCCAGCATGCTCAGTAAGCCCCTGGCACGACAGGACACCTCTCCGCAGAAGACTTGACGGCAGCTCAGTGGGGAGGACCATTTGAACATTACATCCAATCAAAGTGTCATTTGCAACCCAGATGTAAAACTCTAATGATTTGGCCATGAGGCGCTGCTATTATAAGCAGCTGGAAATGAATATTAATGGAAGAGATTAAAAGTATTCCATGCTCAGTATTTTTTATTGTCCTGCTTAAGCCTAGTGTACTTTAAAGCTTCTGCTCTGACTGAATTTATAGTTGCTAGATAGAAATCTGCTTTGACGCCGCTGCCCTTTGTTGCTTCTTGTATTATACGGATAGTCCAAGATTTAGGAGTGATCCCCTCCCCCCTTTATTTTCTTTCCTTTCTTCCCTGTTTAACGGCTTATTTTTTAAAAAATTGCAATTTTAGGTAATTGTGCATTGTGATGTGATGGCTTGGCTATTGTCTGAGTATTTTTTTTACACATTTTTGAAGGTTTTTTTTTTAACAATTAAAGACTAATGCTTTGATTGGATTTGCCAGTTCACCGGACAGTGATTAAATAAATAAATTTTAAAAAAAGATTTTAAAAAAACAACAACAACTATGTAATGAATATCATCCGTTTCAGTGCAACTGGATGGTCTGCTTTATAAATGTGAGTTAATCTGATTGCATTAACTAATACAGTTCAATAAAGGGAATACATTGGACGAGTGTTGGGAGTCTCAATCCATCTATCGACGTGTGCGTTTCGTGCTGCTTGCTGCGGGGAGTGCAATGT